GTTAAGAAAGCAGCATTGCACCAATATAACACCAATGGAGAATCGTAGCACTGAAAGTCAATGTCAATGAGAGCCTGCTCTCACCACCACCAACATATGTATCTAGTCTTTATCTCGCTACTTGGCGCTCGGCACCCAGCCTACTCCCTACATAGCTATTACTAGCCTACTAATTGACAATGCAACTGTTGACGCCAGCAGCACCCGAAGTACTTGAAGATGTCGCCCATGCAGAACCATCGCCAATACCAGGTATGTGCCCTCACATCATCATCATCATCATCCTTNCAGCAGCACCCGAAGTACTTGAAGATGTCGCCCATGCAGAACCATCGCCAATACCAGGTATGTGCCCTCACATCATCATCATCATCATCATCCTTCTCTCTCTCCGTTGACTCTCTCCCACGTCTTCCTTTGTTGTACACCCGAAGACCACCCCTGCGCCTCATTGTACATCCAAGCCCTGCCAGCTATGGAGACTGGGATATGGCGCTGCCCTCAGCAGCGCCCTGTTCCCTGCACGACCGCACGTGCCTGCACCTCGCCGCTCAGCGCTAGCAGCAGCCCACGAGCTTCAGCTCCAGCAGCGCTGCCGCCAGCATGCGAGTGCCCCAATGCCTGGCCAGGCAGCGAGCTCTTTCCTATATGGAAAGAGCCTGCCTCATTCGGCAGCCTGGCTGGACTGGCCTGGGCCCAGAAGCTTCCGGTAGGCCCCTGGATGCTGCGCCTCTGGTGCAGCTACTGGGCCTCATTCGGTTGGGCCTCCCAACTGTCTTTTTATGAGGCTACGAATCTCGCCCAGGGCCTGTGCTTTCGGAAAGGCCTAGAAGGCCTGGGAATTTCCACGCTGATCGGCCTGTGTTTCCCTTCAACCAACTGGCGCGACGAAATTGCCTGGACCCCAAATGCGAAATTGACAGCCAAGGGCCTCTCGTGATTTGTTAGGCCCGCCTTCACTTAGGGCGGGCCCGGCGGGCACATTTGCTGCAAGGGGCCCCCTTAGGCCTGCTGAGGACCCATATCCTCGCATTTCTTTTTTCCCCCTGGAATTTCCTCCCTCTTCTGCCGTGCTTCACAGAACCCTGATTCAGCTCGCCGCATGGATAAACGTTGCAGCACCAATTAATAAGTGTTCATTAACAGACCTGGGTTTTTCATTCCACCCGCCCGCATTAGATGATGAAATTAATTCTGAATTACATGGGGGCATTTCTATAATGATACCTGGGCGCTGTCGCCCGAAGAAAAATCCTCAGCACTATCATGATCGCCGGTTTGCCTCTCTCGGCAATGCCTGATCAGTGACCGCCCCGCATCATCGTTGCGAGGGGGGGTCGGTGGGGCTGATACAAGCCTTGCTCTCTCGCACCAGGTCCATAGATGTGATGCAAACCTACCGCGTGGGCTGGGGACAATTCCAGGTTTGGTGGTTGGTGTTCCCCCGACCATACATAGAGCATAGCAAGAGTAGGAGATACTAGATGAGAGGAAGGGCGGGGGAAAAAAGAAAAAAAAGATGGAAAAAGAAAGGGATAATCGGTACAAAGAGCCCACGCCAAAACCTTTTCGGTTTTGGGCGCCCAAAACTTGGCCGTTTGGTACTACCGGCCCAAACCGTCTTCAGCCTGGGTTAATAAAGGCACCTGCGCGCCGTGGTCACATCTCCCTGGGCATGTTTTTACCGGTTCAAGAATTTGGCATTGTTTTTGCGCCAGATTCATGAACCGGTAGGGCCCTTCTTTTTGAAAATCCTTTACGTGGGCCTCATTCGATACTTCAGCGAAACCACCCTCGGGCTCTTTTACATCATAATCAATCTCGCACTGTTATGCGCCAGATTCCTGATCCTTTACGGCCCTTGGAGCGACGCGTGGACCTGTAGCACCTCACATGGAAGTCATTGGGCCGGTAGTACCAAACGGCCGAGTTTCGGGCGCCCAAACCAAAAAGGTTTTGGCGTGGGCGCTTTCTACCAATAATCCCAAAAAGAAAAGCAAAGAACTCATGATTCATTCCGAGGTTAAGGTTTATTAGCTATGTGAGCGTTGATAAAGAGTAATGTGGGGGTTTGGGTCCCTCCTCCCTTCTCCCTCCTCCCTCCTCCCCGCCCTCCTGCTCCTCTTCCTCCTCCTCCTAGTGTTCTTCATCCTTCCCCTCATCTCGTCTCCGTCCTCTGTGACTCTGCACATGGGTCATGCAGGCCTACATTTTTAGACAATATCATTTATTACAAAACCCAGACTCTGAGGCCATTCAAACCAAATCTGCTCCAATTTGTTTATTTCAGCGAAACTTCAGCGAAAGCTCTTTAAATCTATTGTTATAAATTGTAATGCATATTGACACTCGGTGCGGAATCCGAGCAATCGCCGACTTAGTGTAGATATGCATAATCTCTTCGGAATCCGCGAAAGCTCTTTAAATCTCTTTAAATCTCTACACTAAGTCTTAAGTCTTTCCGTCCATTGCGATAATTATGGTTGAATGACCCGGAGTAAGCGGCATTCATTCTATTTGCTTCGGTAGGGGGGGAAAGGGTAAATTTTGGATTTACACAGTGACTGGTGGAGCCCTTCATGGAGAGGTCCTGTTTTAGTAGATCCTCTAGACCTTCTTAGTGCATGAAACAACCCGTGCGTGTTTTGTAGTCGTCTTCTTTTTTTCTTTTTTTTTTGCCTTTCTTTTTTGCCTTTTTTTTGCTTTTTTTTGCCTTTTTTTGGCGTTTTTTTTGCACTTTTCTTTTTTTCGGTAGTTCAGAATGTATTCATTCATCTACCTTCTTCCCTCGAATACAATGTACGGTCATTATAGCTGTATTTGAGCTATCTTTCAGTCTAGATACAGCTATAATGACCGTACGTTGTATTCGGGGGAAGAAAGTAGCTTGATTGGGACTGGGACTTGGGTCTTTGTCGAACCGCTATTTGAACAGCTCATGGGTGTACCAACCAAGTGAGATTATTAGGCCTGTTGGCCCTGTGTTGGGGTGGTTCGACGTGCCAGGCGGGACTGGGGGACCGCCTGGACGTATCTGATCTCAAGCGAAGTGCACATACATCCAGGAGGTCCAGTGTTTTAAGAACGGCCTGGATGTATCTGGTCTCAAGCAATGTCCACATACATCCAGGGGGTCCAGCGTTGAACCGCGTGGATGTATCTGGTCTCCAGCTATGTCCACAGACAGCCAGGGGGTGCGGCACTTTAAGAATGCTGGACCCTCAGGAGCAGCAAATTTGGACGAGTTTAATCAACTCCTCTTAGTTCTCAGACTTCCTGAGGTCTTCCTGCAGGTCAGTCCCTTTTTTTTTTTTTTTTTTTTTTTTTTTTTTTTTTTTTGTAAGTTTGTGTGTGCAGTCTCTGTTCCACGCTATCAGGAAACTCCTCAGCCTGGACCTTTCCTGATTAGGTATGACCACAACACGAAGTACTTGTTTGCATGACATTGCATTTGAGTCCACCTACAGTCTCGGCTTCTTCAGCTGGATGGGTAGAAAATGCAGAGTGTGGGGGTGAGACAGAAAATGCAATGCAGATAATCAGCAGAATCTGATGGGGACCGGAGACAAAGTTTCATGTCTGGGTTTGGGTTTAGGGTTTGGGTTTGGGTTTAGGGTTTGGGTTTAGGGTTTGGGTTTGGGTTTAGGGTTTGGGTTTGGGTTTGGGAGAGTTGTCGGCGCCTTTACGTGATCACAACGCACCAGGTCCTACATCATGAATGTATACAAGGGACGTTTCAAGAATGTCCGGTACAGTCTCGATGAGGGGGTGTTGGATTCGAGGGAATGTATGCGAACGGAGGGTTGTGTGGGCGCTATGTCGCCATAGCCATTTGAAGTGAACTCGGATCTGGGTTGCCATATCTCTGAGTACTGTGCGGGCGCATGTCGCCAGTTGCTGCGCTTCTGTTTGCATGCATGTAAAGTGTGAATGAAAGTGAGGCTGATTGCAGGAAGACCATAGTAATAATAATATCTGTTAGCCTGTGTTAGGTGAGGCAAGCTGATGACTCTAATGAGCAGAGTATGCCAGGGTGGCCTAGGACATGGCTGGATGTATCTGCCCTCATCTGGTCACTAGATTCGCTAATTTAAGGAAGAAGGTACAGGGGGAGGGTGCCCACCGCCCAGTCTTACACACTTGCTCTTTTGCTCAGAAT